CCCGTCCTAAAGTAAAGAAGAGTCTGAATATAGAGAGTACTGACTGTATTAGAATAAATCACAAATAGGTACATCCCGAGACCTTTTTCTAAATAGGATATAAAACAAAATTGGAGGGTGGGGGAGACAAACAGAAGCGACCATTCAGAGTGTGCTGGAGCAGACTAAGATGCCTTCTGTGACCTGGAGTGCACGACAGCACGAAAGCAATTCATACAATTACTTCCTTTTACCGGTTTCCACGAGACCAAACGAGTGTGTTTATGGGCATGTCTAGTTTCTACCCCGCCAACATTTGAATAAATCACAAATAGGTACATTCAAATTTTTGTGATATAATAACTTCAAAAGCCTTTTCCACCATTAAAAAAAATAAATAAAAAAGAAAAACTTTTGTTTATTTAGATAAGGCAAATGAAAACAGATTCAATGCAGACAACGGCAGCGTAAATTAAGATGAGGTGGTTGCACAAATGTGCACACCCTTCCGGAACTGGTGTTCAGAATTAATCACGTCACGTTAATATTCAGATGTTTAGTTTACTGACACCTCTCTTCGAGATTTTTTATCCCCAATTGGTTTGTACAGCTTATATCAGAGGTTTATACTCACAAAGGTCACGGGGTGGTGCTGGAGCCTATCCCAGCCATCTTCGGGCAGTAGGCGGGGGACACCCTGAACCGGTTGCCAGCCAATTGCAGGGCACACAGAGACAAACAACCATCCGCGCACACACTCACACACCAAGGGACAATTTAGAGTGTTCAATCAACCTGCCATGAACGCTTTTGGAATGTGGGAGGAAATCGGAGTACCCGAAGAAAACCCACGCAGGCACGGGGAGAAATTTACAAACGCCACACAGGGAGGCCGTAGCTGGAATCGAACCTCTGCACTGTGAGGTCGACGCGCTAACCGCTGGACCGCCGGGCCGCATGTTGAATGCGAATGAAACCTATTAAAAAAACGGAGAATCATGCGTTCCGACGCTTCTATTCTTAACCGCAGCTACTATGGTGTTGTTTCTTTTGAAATTTTGCTCCCAGGGTGAACATCCCGCTCCCCTGACCTTCTCCTCCTCCTCCTCCCCCCTCCCCGCGCTAAATCACTTCTGAAATGTACCCTTGAAAGAGTACAAATGAATCTCTTGTTGCGTGCGTGCGTGTGTGTGTGTGTGTGTGTGTGTGTGTGTGTGTGTGTGTGTCAGGGCAATAGCGTGTGAGCGCTGTCAAAAGAAAGAAGGAGAGGTTCATGGAAACATGGGGTAATGGAGGAGGAGAGAGGCCAGAAGAGGTAGACAAGCTGTGATGTTAGTAGCAGGATTGATGGATCTGTTGCATGGCCACTACTCCTGCCAGAGCACAGTACACCTCAGGCAGTGCAGGGGGTGGGGGGGATGGGGGGCGGGGATGATTAGTCTCTCTCAATACGTGTGTGTGCACCCTTTGTGTTGGAGTGCGTGGGAGAAGTGTATTACATTGTGTTGATGTGAAGTTTTGTGTGTGCGTGTGTGAGGTGGTACAGCAAACTGGGCTTTATAGCTATCTTAAAACTCTGGTGAACTGTCAGGAAACGTACGGATATAAAACGTCGGACAATGAGAACATATTTGGACATCACAAATGAATAGGTTACAGTGGTACCTCTACTTACGAAATTAATTGGTTCTGGAAAAAATTTCTTCACGAGAAAATGTGAGTAGAGACGCGTTTTCCATTGAAATGCCCTAATCCGTTCCAAGCCGTTCAAAATTCAGACATAAATGTTTTCTAAAGCATAAAAATGCATCAAAATATAGAACAAATACATGTTACAATTAGATTATTGCACAACAAATAAGAGTTGTGCATAAAAAGTTGTGCAAAAATAAAAAAAAAAAAAAAAAAAAAAGAAAAATGGTCATTTAACTTTCAATTGCGTCCTCATCGTTTTTTGTCCTCTTTAGTTCATGTTCTCTCTCAGAAGTGTTTTTTGCCTGGTGTTTTGTCACGAACCAATCCAAGGACGTTAGCTTTTGTCGGCTTTTAACGAGCCTTCGAAAATGTCCAAGGCAAACATCGGCGTAGTGAGTGATCGCCGGATCGGTGAAAACGTTTTCTGGGTGATTCACATTGACGTAAAACTATCGGAACGCCTCATGGCCCGAGAGGCGAATGACGAGGACGCTGCATAGACACATATGTATCTATCTACACACAAAGACACAGTCAGTAGAGGTCCCTCTTAGCCAATGGGATGCCAGGAGGATTCTAGGTTACAGCCAATGGCAGAACAGCTATAAGTATGTTGCGTTCAGGAAACTCGGAGCTGCGATTAGCAGCCCAGACTGTATTTTTACCTTTCATATCTTAAAATTTCTTTTGTAACTAGAGGCAATATTTTCCTGTTGAGGCGTTTCATAACTTTTGTATGAAGAGACAGATGTTCATAAGTAGAGGTGCCACTGTACTAGTTTTGAAATCAGTCAAGTCAATCATAATAGTTTGTTCAATTATGGTTCACGTGAGTGCAAACAGGGTAACAAAATGATTACAAAATCTTACTGTTATTTATTAACCAGTGACAATTTGACACATGATTTACTTTCGCGGGCCGCATAAAATGACCTGGTGGGCCGGATCTGGCCCCCAGGCCTTGAGTTTGACACCTGTGGTTTAGCTGATTGGTCAGACGTGTTTGGCCCCGTCATCGACAGAGTGTCAGTATAATGTCAGTTTTTTTTATTTTTTTTTTATAGTGGCCCCTGATCGATAAATGACTGCTCTGAATTTTTTTTATGACTGTAGTATCGGTTTTCAGTCCATATAATTGTGCTATGTGACAAGCAGTGAGTGAAAATATACAACAGACTGCTGTCCGATCTGCGTGAGGATACGTCGGCGACACAAGGTTTCATACGAAGGCAATTTATCACCACTGTCTTCAAATCCTGAAAGTGAACCGAATCAAAGTTTACCAACGTACGTTTAAAATATGCCCTTGTGCGGTTTATCAGCGCAAACTGAACAGACGTTGCAGGTGAGGCGACGTCACTGGCCAAGTTTGAGATAACGGCATAAAAGGCAAAAAGCTACACAATCCATTCGGATATGTGACATATTTCCTCAAGATACATGCAAACACTGAAAACGGAATTTTAAAAAAAAAGTGCTGAGTTTTGTTCTCAGTCGCCCCAAACTGTTTCCGTGCGGAGCAAGAAGGTCAAAATGTACACAGAATGCATTTTTCAAAAGATTGCGGACGTGTCCAGATAGCAACATTTGCATTATGTCTGGGGATTGTTTTGCTGTGTGTAACCCGAAACTCAGTCCATTTATTCCAAAGTATTTAAACACAATTTGAGCTCCTTTCACCGCCCCCCTAAAAACAAAACAAAACAAAAAAAAACAACATTTCTCTTTCCAAGGTTACACAGCCCTCTCGTTGTCTCCCTTTACATCTCTCACCTCTGTCCAGCAAGTGCTCTCAATGGACGCAATCCATCCTTTCCGCTCATAAAATATGCGTGCTTATAATTTTTTTTTTTTTACTTCCTGAGGGTGACTCATAGGGAAAACCCGCGCGGTGCCAAAGTGGAGAGGAGTAAAACTTGGGTCAGCTTGAAATGGAGAAGAGCAACCTGTGATCGAGCCCGAGCTATTACCTCATCCGAGAAATAAGTCGACTTCACCTCTCCGCTGCCTTTTCCCATGTTGAGACCAGCAAAACTCCACATCACGCTACTCGAACCCCCGTCCAATGTACAGAAGATATCCATCGATTTTTTTTTCTCTCTCCTCTGCCTACTACACCAGCATTTCCCCCCTTTTTTATTTTCCCCATCGAAAAGAAAATGGTCCTTTCCAACCACATTTTGACCCCCGCGTATCCATGCTAAGATAAACTCAAGCGAGGGTTAAGGAGCCAAGTTCGCCGCCCCTTTTGAGACACGCATAAAGCAATTATAGAATGATCGAACGTCAGTCGCTTTTTAACAGTGCTGCTTGGTACCGCAGGGCAAGTAGCAAAGCCGCACACTCACCCCAATCATTCTATTTGCTCTGTCACTTTTTTCCTCCCCCCTCCCTTTAAGCCCAACCAGACTTGCTAGCAGCTAAAGGACAAAATTCAAACGTATTTGCACGGCTGCCGTGGTTGAAAAGACCCCGGAAAAGCATAATCGGAATTTCAATTTCTGAACAATGACGCTATTTGGGGTTTGTTAATTGGTCTTATATGAGTACAGTGGTACCTCTACTTACAAACGTCTCTTCGTTCGAAATGTGACGAAAGATACGGAACGGAAAAATACAGTGTGGGCCGCTACTCACAGCTCAGAGTTTCCTGAACGCATCATACATATAGCTGCTCTGCCATTGGCTATTACCGAGAATCCTCCTGGCATCCCATTGGCTAAGAGGGAACTCTACCGAATGTGTCTTTGTGTGTCGATAGATAAATAGAAATGTGTCGATGCAGCGTCCTCGTCATTCACCCCTCGGGCTATGAGGTGCTTGAAAAAACATTTGTCTGAATTTTGGGGGGGCTTGGAACGGATTAGGGCATTTAAATGGAAAATGCGTCTCGACTTACAAAATTTTCGAGTTAAGAAATTTCTTCCAGAACCAATTAATTTTCATAAGTCGAGGTACCATTATACATTCAAACACGTAACCCGAAACAAAACTCAAAGTTAACACTCATGCTAATTTTACCCATTAGTGACCACACTCACTCATTGATACTGCATGAAATGGAAGAAAAGGGAATCCGACAAAGCACGAGTGTGACAAGTCATTAAATTTGATCCAACACCGGTTTGGTTTGTTCACTCGTTAATTGCTCTTGTACTCGAGTATGTTCAAGCACGTCTGTGTGTACAACGTCTGCTCGAGAAACAATTAGCAATGAGCCACTAAGATCAGGAGCATTATGTACACACGATTACACAGTAATATATTCTGTACGTTCTGAACTTGGGCTTGACATTTGGTGTGTTCAACTTGTACAAATGACCTACCTTTGCACTGGTTGGTGTTCTTATCCAGAATGGCCTTTGTCGACACGATCTTCCCGTACCTGCAAAGACAGAAAAGTAAATGTGTAAACAGTTTGCCATGTGTGAGGATTACTTTGATGTGCTAGCCATGTTCGCACTACGCCTTATTTTTCTTTTGTTTGTTTGTTTTTTTTTTTTTTTTAATGTTAACTCGGGGCTCGACTGGCAATCCCAAATACGTTTTTGCTTTGTGGCTTCACAATAAAAGCCATTCAATGAGATCTACTGTCTCCGGAGGACATGCTGTTAATTGAAGAAACCGATGCGTGCTACAACGTGGTCGGACAAGAATACGGTTCTCTATTGACTGCCGTTCTATTTCGAGTCATTTATTAATACTCGGAATTGTAAAGTAGCCGACTGCTAAAGGCCACTGAGAGAAGCCACTTGAGGTTAATCAGCTCAAGTATGGATGACTTCAGATCTACACGCTGCTCAATGACATTTCTGAGAGTCACTGAACATTTTTTTTTTCGAAAGGTCGAATGCCAGACAGGTCGTGGAGAAGTTAAGTGGTTTGTACATGGCATTCTGATCAAAAAAATATTTTTTAATTCTGGATCAGAATGTCGCTGGGAGAAGAGTCTACTGAGAAGGCCGTGCTGTCTCGTGCAGAGCGACCAGAGTGACCAGGGGGAGGGGCGGAGCTTGGAGCATTGCCAGCAGCACCAAAAGGTGTTCGAATGGCGATCATGTTAAGTGAAACTAGTCTTTGAATCACTAAGCTTTCCAAAAATGAAATCCCAAGTGTGTTTTGCTTTTCCCTCGGCTCGTTCGCCATCAGCGAACAGTTGGCAAAAAACAAGTGTGATGACACTCAAAGCATAAACGGAACGGTATTATTGCGACTTTGATCGGCGCGAAAAACTTTTCTGCCACGGTTGCTGGATACAATATGTCAGGCGCATTTGACGTCCAACAATGTACTGGGAGGGAGCTTTTTAGAGGAGACGCAAGAGGAAGAAAAGAGTGGATAGGACGAGAGATAAGGAGGCAAGCGGATGACAAGACACGGGTAAAACTACTGATGAGACCATGGGGGTGGGGGGGAGCGACAGAAAGGAAAATTCAGGAATCTTTATCGACCAGAAATAAAGTGATTCAACCTAAACTGTGTGGATCAGACATGTTTGGAAATATTTGCATTTATTATGATATTTTTTAAATCTGACGTTGCTCTCAAATTGCACCGCCGATTAAAAAAAAAAAAAAACGTCTCCAGGTGTTGCCTAATCAACACAGGTAATTAACCGCATCTGGGAGGTGTGTGATGTTTCAATGCAGGCGGACCCCAAATTCGCAAGCATGTTCAGAGCAGTTGCCGGAAGAACTCAAGAGTTTCCCATTTTTTGCTCCCTATGACGTGACTGTGGAAACAAATCGACATGATGCCGCCGTAATATGACAAATACACACACACATGCGCGCGCACGCGCGCACACACACTCATGTTCTGTGCAGAAAGAGCAGTGAAGCATCCCGGCCCATATTTCACCAGTGGGGGATAATTGTGCCATTTCTCAACGAGTGGCGGGGACTCTATTTACTGCACGCTGCGGTGGGGTGGGTGGTGTCTCTGAACTGATGAGCTCTGAGAGAGAAAACTACCAGTTCCTACAAATTCAGACACTGCATAAGTACACACACAAACACACACAGAGACAATCAGTGGATTGTCACTCTTCAGTAGATAAACAGGCCATATTGGTAATGGGCATGTGCATTCTCTTCCAAAACACAACAGGGAATACAGAGCGGTGCACGTTCCCTTGGTAAGACACGTGTGCTTTGCTGTGAAGCTAATATTGGAGTTACTAGGCTGACAGTGAAACAAACAAAAAAAAAAAAACAATTACTCATTGAAGTTAAGATGATAGAGATAGCATAAATATTAGGATGGCTAGCCATGGGCAAAAGAGGATCCGTTAGCTAGATAAACGTGGTACGGTGGTACCTCTACTTCCGAACGTCTCTTCATACGAAATTGATGCTCTGCCATTGGCTATTACCCATCATCCTGGCATCCCATTGGCTAAGAGGGACCTCTACCGAATGTGTCTATGTGTTTAGATAGATAGATATGTGTCTATGCAGCGTCCTCGTCATTCGCCCCTCGGGCTATGAGGCACGACTCTCATTTATTGTGCAATAATCTAATTCTAATGTGTATTTGTTCCATATTTTGATGCATTTTTATGCTTGAGGGAACATTTATGTCTGAATTTTGGGGGTGCTTGGAACGAATTAGGGCATTCACATTGAAAATGCGTCTCTACTTACAACTATTTCTAGTTCAGAAATTTCTTCCAGAACCAATTAATTTCGTATGTAGAGGTAACACTGTAGCTACAGATGTCAGAAAAACATGGTAAGAATGTTACGTGTCTCATTAAGATGTATCCATTTTGACAAGGAGTGTTTTTTTAGAATGCCTCACAGTCGCAATGCCCTGGGTTCGAATCTTCGGTATGGCTTCCCTGTTCTCCACAAGTTATTTGGAGAACAAACTGTCCATCGGCATGAATGTTTTTTGCGCCCACGTGTTATTGACTGGCGACCAGTTTAGGACGTACCCGCGTCATACCCGATGTCATGTTGGAGAGATTCCAGCTCACAGTTCACCCGAGCGAGGACGGGTGCTATAAAATCTTTTTGTTGATTAAAATGCCTAGAACAGTGCATAATATTTCATTTCCCGAATGATCTGACATTTTCGCTGAATATTTTTTAAATGAATATTTTTAAACACGACGTAGCCGATTCCTTGCGTTATTCCCATCTGAATACATCCATCGAACATATGTCATTTTAAATCCAACTTTGGGTATGAATAATTCCGGTCATAGCTGCTCATTTTGAGTATGGGGATACCGTGGGTTGAGTATAATGCAGTATTTCAAATGCCAACTCATTCCTTTTCGCCCTCACTGAATTTTAAGAGATGGCCCATCAATTTGGTCCAAAGAGGCCTGACAAGAGCACGGCGGTTGAGATGAAAAGGCAAGGAGAAGTCGGCAGCAGCCTCCGACCCGTAATGGAGACATACGGGTAAGAGCGTGATATGCATGGATGTGGCGGTGTGCAGCTGCGGCCGAGCCTGCCCGGGTGACTCGGTGGCCTCAATGGCAGGCGGGCCTGAGGGAAGCTTTGATGTGACAGAGGCGGTCTCTGTGAAGCGCAGGTTTAACACTGTGATGCCGCGGCCGGGATGCGGGGCCTGTCTCGGCTAATCCTATTTCAATCACTCTCACAGCCTCTTATCTCTGACTCTGCTGGCCCTCAGCCCTCCCCCTCCTCATCCATCTTCTCCTATCTCCTGCTTCTACTCCTCTCTGTGGCGTTATTTATTTATTTATTTATTTTATCTCTGTAAAATCGAGCATTGCCCCTTCCTGTTCCGTATCCTTCATTGTTCTCTTTTTGTCCAGCGGCAATCCCATGCTGATCAGCACTGTGATGTCATCGTGGATCAACACCCCAGGATGCCCCACTTTGGTGGGCGTGAAAACATAATGTTGGTTTGACAGCTGTCTGAATGTTTGAAAAGAGAACTCGTGTTTTGCTCCAGTTCCCCGTGTTATGTTTTGGGCAGCTGGGATGCCGCACGCCATTACTGGATGGTGAAGAAACGGTACAGGCTGATTCCGTTTCTAAGGTGAGGCTAAAAGGAGTGGATTTTTGCTTTCAATTTTACACTTCGTCGATTTGGACGGGCGAACAAATGCAAGTCAAATCCACATTGTTGACGTTTTTGAACTAGTCCATCGTAAAACATGATTGAACATCCATCCATCCATTTTCGGCTTTATCCTCACAAGGGTCGCGGGGCATGCTGGAGCCTATCCCAGCCGTCTTTGGGCAGGAGGCGAGGGACACCCTGAACCGGTTGTCAGCCAATCGCAGGACATACAGAGATGAACAACCATCTGTGCTCACACACACACACCTCGGGACTATTTAGAGTGTTTAGTCGGCCTGCTGTGCATGTTTTTGGAATGTGGGAGGAAACCGGAGTACCCGGAGAAAACCCACGCAGGCGGGGAGAACATGCAAACTCCACACAGGGAGTCCAGAGCCGTGACCGAACCCATGACCTCTGCACTGTGAGGTCGATGCGCTTAGCACTCGACCACCGGGCCGATGATTGAACAAACATTCTTAACTCTTTCATTCCACAAGACGTACTTGTACGTCTTTTTAAAATTAGGCCCCGCCTACCAAGGACGTACTTGTACGTCTAAGTCTTTTTTTTTGCGTCATAGAGGGGAGGAGGGTCTGATGCAATCTGTGAATGAGAATAAGCCGTTTGCATTGTAAATCTTGTAAAAAAGCGACCATTAGGTGGCAGTGGTGCCTCATGTGCTTGAAATGCACGTTTTTACAAAAAGGTCTTTTTCTCCGTGTTTTGCCCAGGAATCGCCATTTCCATTAAACTTAGCCATTTTGGAATACCGATTGCTGAAGAATGGAAAAAGATAGAATTTTTTTTTTCTGCTGAAAGAAGAGAGTTCAAACTTTTTGGTAGGCTCCATGTTTATATAGCATTAGAACAAAATATTCTGTGGGCCTTGCAAGATCAGTCAAAATCCAGTAAAACGCTGGGATTAGGGGGTTGCTCCGGTGAAAATGGCTGGGACTGAATGAGTTAATGAACTTGAGTATTTATATGTACAAACATCAGACTATTTTGGTGCGCATCATCACAATTCCAAAACGATTGCTGCAACCGCCGTAAACAAGCCCAATGCTCAATTGAAGGTGTTTTGCAGGAAATGTTATGTAACATGTGGAAACACCAATAAGACATGATGGCTAAACATCCAAAATAAAAAAAAAAACAAAATGACTTTCAGGATTTCAGGAACGAGAGCACAAAAAGGAGTGATGAAAGTCAAGTTTCCGGTCCGAAAAGAGAGGCAGCTGGACCCAAATGCCACAAAGACAAATAAGGCGAGATGTTGGACACCTGGCAGAAGGCAGAGCAGCTGTTCACTCCACCACCACCACTGAGTTGACGTCA